CATTGCCATTTTGATTCAGATTCCTTTTAAGGCACTTCAATTAGCATTTATCATCTACAAATAATTACTTTATACAAATCTGTTTATTTTTATATTTTTATCTGCATGCTTTTTGATTTAACAGTAATGTAACCACAATCTTTTTTAAAACAAGCTGTATAGTTTTTTTATATTTTTGTTTTTAAATAAAAATAAATAAAGTGTTTGGTTTGCTACAGAAAATGTACCTTTTGTATAATGGAATTGCAGTTTTAAGAAGTCATTTCAAAATAGAATATTTTTACCAAGTGTATAATTGTATACTATTTTATTGAGTATTTCACCTTCCTCAGTGAAAGTGTGGGGAAGTAACTAATTAATAATTGGAAAAACTTGTGTGAGTGGGGAAGATACCCTAGAACCTTCCAGAGAGGAAAGCTATTTGATAGAATAAGTTAATTGCAAGCAGAGGCTTCACTTACTGGAAACTGGGCTCTGATCTTAGTGTTTCTACTCTGAAAAGTGACTTTGTGAGAATGGCATCGTGGAATCCCATATTTATTGTGTCTTGAGGATTTCTGTCTCAGATGTGCTGTGTGCACAAGTAGACATTTTTTTCTAAGTACCAGCCTTGAAATCTCAACCTGGGCTCTAAGAGCCAAAGCTTAGTTGAAATGCGGTATGAAGAGAACCATCATAATGGTTCTGTGAACCAGATTTAGTCCATGCGGAGCCCTTGGTGCCTTTCATGGGCTTCCATAGGTGTGACACTGATTTGGAACTTAATAAGCGATTTTGTAGATACACAAGATGGAACAGAATCAGCAGCTGTCAACCGTGGCTGTGTTGGCTCTGCAGGGTTAATAAGAATAAAAAGCAGCAAAATTTTATCTCTCAAATAGCTGATGTGACTATTCAGAGTAAACCTGAAAAGTGATTTTCTGGGCCATGTTTGTCTTTTGTTTGCCTGTTCTTGCATTTCTGGAGACCTCCTGGTTAGTTAAATGGCCAGAAGGTTAGTGTCCTGTGGCTGGCTGGAGTGGAGCTGTGTCCATAGCTGCTTTAGTCCCACGGAGTCACACCCGTGAGTCAAATATTAAACAGAACTGCTGATCCCAACAAACCAGGAGATGCACAACCATTTGCTCAGAGCACTATAAAGTGAATGGGGTTTCCTGTCAATCCAGACCAAACCATTTTCTCTTACCTACGTGCAGAGCGTGGTCCAGTATCTTGGCTAAACATGTGATAGTTTGTCAATAATTCAGTTTAAGCTAAAGACAATATCATTACAAGAAATATGCACACCAGTAAGCAAACGTGCCGCTTCTGAGGAGCTTGGTTAGAAGCTAGCCATCACACCTCTGAGGAATATAGGAGTGAGAGCAAACACCTGTACAAAGAAGCAACTAGGTCAGAGTGACACCACTTGGTACCTTTTTAACTGCTTTTCAGGGTTGATACTTGCACACAGCCTTATAACATGTCTGATAGTCCCTCTTTTTCACACTTTTACTATTGCAAAACACATACATGTTGATCAGCTGCATGGAAACCAGGAAGCTAGGGGGTCTCTGACATAAAGTACAAATGAGAAATGTTATATATTAAACATGGCATTTTTGGCTGACTCCTGAAACTGGGGACTGTCTATGTATAATCTCCCATTTCCAGTCCCATTCACATAGGAGTGATAATGGCTTAATTGCCTTTTCGCTGATAATGTTTACTAGTGCAACTTCCTTGTATACTTATGCAGCAAATCTGCAACTTGTCGAGAGGAATTCTCTCAAATCCCATTGATTTGCAAAGATCAAATATGTCATAGTTTTCCTTGTCTCTTCCCCTCAAGTGGTGGTGTCCTTTTACAAAACTCCTCCTTTCCTGGAACCCCCCACATTTGTTTGTATCCCATCCTTTGATTTCTTCCCATTGGTATTTTTTCTTCTGATTAAATGGAACATGACAGAAATATTGGTTCCTTCAGTAACTTTTTTTTTCCAGCCACACAGCTTATTCAGTTTCCTCCTAGTTTGGTATGCATGGTAGGAAGTTTCTTGGGATGCAGACAAGGTAAAAGTGGATCAGCAAGTAGAATGTTTATAGCAAAGTGAATCAGGTTCTGTTTGCTATATGTATTACACTTGCATCAGATAAGAATGTGGCAGTTACAGGCTCCAAAGCACATTTGCAAGCCCCTCACATAGTGTATGGCTCACAGTAAAGCAGACCAGTCTCTTAGATACTTAACTGTTACAGAGACTGACATCTGTCATTTTGACGACTTTTCTGTAAATTTTATTTTAGTTTACTGATTAGTATGGGGCTTCTATTTTCTGCCCTCAGTCATAGAGTAGGAACTCAGAAAAGACCTCAGTGAATAGTTGTAAAACATGATTTTCCTGAAGACCTACATGTTGCTGTTTCCTTCTTGCCTTTCAGTGGCTCAGTGGTGGCTCTTCAGTTGATTGGTGTGGTGTTCCTGTGATTAATTCTCTCTCAGCCTCTCTCTCGGTTACCTGGGTTTTTGACTCAGATGGGGAAAGTCTATGTGGGGCAAGTCACTTAATAGCAGAAAACATCAACCACTCTCTTTCTCCTTTGTGAAAAGTAACGTCAATGTGGCTGGTTAAGATGGCTTTGTATATTTAAGTCAAAATCTACTCTTTTAAACAAGTTTGCAAGCAGATTAACCATAATCATTTTTCAATTTTAGTCCAGTGGAAAATGCACTGGACTGGGATCCAATTTTCAGCTCTACCATGTACAGTTTCAAGAGAAACGTTAAATCTCCCATGTTTTAGATTCCCCATCTGTAAAATGGGAATAATGATACTTGGCCCCATTTGTAAAACGGTTGGAGAGCCTCGGAGGAAAAGTGCAAAGGATTGTTTATTTTTTGTTCCATCCATTTCTGTATGGATGTTTAGCACATGAGCTTTAATGCATGTAACTTACTGAGGTTTTATTGGCTCTTTGAAATGTCTTCTGCTGGGTCAAGGCCTAGTTAAGTAATTATTCATACCAAGTTAGACTGGCAAAGTGTCAGATTTGTACAGTAGTCCTCAAATGACTAGTGGCCCCAACCAATGGTGTTGATGCTTCATCTCCCAATACTGTAATGAGGAGCTCTGCTACCCACCTTCCATCTAGTCTTGGACATGTTCTGACCTGCAGCTGAGCTTGGGCTGTTCCTATTGGTCACAAAAACAGCCTGAACCATGGAAAATGTGAACAGTTGAATGGGAGTCTGTCAACACACTTGAGGTCTTGCTCTGGTAAAATATTGCTTCCTGAAAAGCTTAGGGAATCCCTGTAATGATAGACCCTGGTGGCTGAAGGGACCTCCAGGAATACTTTAATTATGCTGTATTTACCTTATACCACAGGGAAACTCATAATGAGAGACACATATGAAGGAAGCATGATATACATAGAAAGGGGGTCTGAATACTTACTAGATCATCTTAAATTTTGCTACAAAATGGTTTGACTTTGTATTGGCCTTGCAAAATTATGAACATTTCATAGATTCCAAGGCCGGAAGGTACAAAAGTGATTATGTAGTCTGGCTTCAATTTACCAGCCTAAGTACAAATTCTACCATATTTGCCTGTCCCCTCTCATGAGGATTCACGGTGGTGAAAATAGGAATACTTTACTTACCGATTTAAAAAAAAAAAAACACCCGGGGCATGAATGGGCCACTAGAATTTTGCCAAGGCAGTTTTAAACCCTGTTCAGGGGTAATGCTTGAGTCTTAACCCCACACCACTGGGCGTGCCAAATAATGATGAAGTAGAACACGTTCAAGCAAGGGAATTGATTCAGGTGTTTGGCTGGAATTCTCCAGGGGAGGAAATTTAAGCCAGATGGTCAATATTGTGCCTTTCATTTTTGTTGATTTAATAAACTTTGAAGTAAGCTGCAAAGGAAGTCTTGGGAAGCTCTAATATATAACAAATTTTCACCAATGGAGAGAGGCTGACTGGTAGTGAAAGCTGCTGAAAGTCCCAGACAGTTTTGTTTTAGGGTGGAGAAGAAAGTTTCTTCTGTTTGACTCCCAGTATGACCTCTGATAGAAAGCGGTGAGTTTAAGCCCTTTTCTTGTTTAAACAGCAAGAGGCCCTTGGATGCAAACTCTTAACAATTCTCCAGTGTGAGAGGAAGGATGGTTTTCTGTGTTGCATCTATTCTATCATGGCTGCTGTCTATTTATTTTCTCTTCTCCATCACTGACATTGTAATGTTCAAATAAGTGCTCTTGAGCTAACTAATGGGCTGTGAAAACGCTTCACAGCCAGCTCTCTGCAGCCCTGTCAGGTTGTATCTCTAATAGGCTATTTGAAAGATTTTTCTATCATTCCAGCTCCACCAGTGGTAGCAATGGAAGTATTTTCAGTAGACCACTGGCATTTTTACCACCGTTCTCTAACACTGGTCAGAATGGGTATAGAAGACACCATGACACACATTCTGGCAGTGCCCTGAGTCCTATCCACACTAACTCCCACTTTGGTTACTACTGGTGGCACTGCACTGGTGAGAGATTTCCAAGAAACTCTAATGTAGGCAAGGGCTAACCAATTCTTATAGTCTGTCACTTTGGTGTCCCAAAGGCCTGTGGCCGAAGAATTAGTGTTGGTCAAAGTCTTGAAGAAATTTCTTTGTAAACCATTGTAGTTGATGTTTTGAAAGTTCTGATCCTTCCTGGTTTTGTGAAGGAACAAAGATGTAGCCAAGGAAACTGAATTTCTTTCCTCAGGAATCTGTAGTAAGTTCCAAAGGTAAAATCAGGGAAAAGCTGCCTGTTTTTGTGTCTGAAAATGTATTCTTCGTGAGTGCTTCAGAGAGCAGTTTGCAGTGAGCACCAAAACTTCGCTACTCTTCCTGTGATTTAAGTGTTGTACTTGTAACTGAGATCAGTAATATTAGTTGCTCCCATATTTGTGTCAGTGATTCCTGGAAGAGCAGCACCTGGATGCTAACCCTTTTATTATCCCTTCTTCCTTTCTCCACAGAAATGGCACCAAAATTGAAGAAGAAAGGGCACTCTGGGAGAGAGCAAAAAAAGGTGAGTTTTGGAGAAGCCTCCCTCCTGGAGCCATGAGAGAATTCCTATGAATTAGCATCCTCAGTATACATTGACCGCCGAATCATCAGAGAGGTTGGGCTGGGCCGGGCACACAGGCTGTTAAAACAATACTCTTATTTAGATCTCCCTTTTAGATCAGGAGCTTATAGTCAACCACAGGCTCAGTCCCTCCATTATTGATGTCTGGAATTGTTCTGAGCTGCCTCCCTGCATACCAGATGACACAAGGCTGGAAACTTAAATGAGGTGGTTCTGCTGATCTCATGAGTTTTTGTCTTCCCTAGCATCACCACCACCACCATCAGCAGGCGCAGCAGCAGCAGCAGATGCAACCACTGCCTCCGCAGCCTGTCCCTCAACAAGCACCGCCTCCGATGAAGTCTTCTCCCCCTCCTTTCGTACCTGCACAGGTCCCCATCATGGAGCATCCGCTCCCAGGGAACATGTTTGACACTATCACACATTTCACCCAGCCCATCATGCATCTTCCTCAGCCAGAGATGCCACCCCATCTCCCCCAGCAACCTGAGCATAGCACTCCTCCTCACTTGAACCAACATGCAGTAGTCTCTCCTCCAGGTAAGCACTTAATGGGCAATGCTGTGTATCTAAAGCTGTAGCCCTTTCTTCTTCTTGGAGTAGATGCAGCCATGTATTCCATGTAGGTGTGTGTCTCCCCAGCACACCAGAACAGGAGAAATTTGCCCAGCAGTACCTGTAGAGGGGTGGCACTTGCACCTTGTGGTTATAGTCCTGGCTACACGAGGTAATGCTGTCCTGATCCTTCCTCAGTTCCTTCTTACTGCCCATGACTGGAGTCGGAGCTTTGTGTGGTCTCAACCTCTCAACTAATTTAGTTTTTTCTCTTGTATATAGTTAGTAGTACTCTTAATGTTAGAGTAGTTTGTGTTACCAGTCTGTTGCCTCAGTGATGCCCTTCTGGGGTTTAAACATTGTCTTTCATGTGGAGAAGTGATCCCCGGTAGCAAGGCCCATGTCAAGAAGCATTGCGCAATCTGCCGATCAGTTTTTAAGAAACTGACTCAAGTGGCTTGGGACCTTCGCCTAAAGCAGCACCTGCTCGAACAGGCCATGTGGCCTGCTTTGGTCCCAAGGCCCTCAGAGGGTCAGAGGTTGCCCTTGGGCTCCAACAGCACTGCCGCTTCACATTCTGGAGCAGGTACTTCAATAGGGGCTCTTCTCTGTTGACTGTGCCGAGGAGACGGTCTCATAAGACCAATCATAGAATATCAGGGTTGGAAGGGACCTCAGGAGGTCATCTAGTCCAACCCCCTGCTCAAAGCAGGACCTAATGCCCAACTAAATCATCCCAGCCAAGGCTTTGTCAAGCCTGACCTTAAAATCCTCTAAGGAAGGAGATTCCACCACCTCCTTAGGTAACCCGTTCCAGAGCTTCATCACCCTCCTTGTGAAAAAGTTTTTCCTAATATCCAACCTAAGCCTCCCCCACTGCAACTTGAGACCATTACTCCTTGTTCTGTCATCTGGTACCACTGAGAATAGTCTAGATCCATCTCTTTGGAACCCCCTTTCAGGTAGTTGAAAGCAGCTATCAAATCCCTCCTCATTCTTCTCTTCTGCAGACTACATAATCCCAGTTCTCTCAGCCTCTCCTCATAAATCATGTGCTTCAGACCCCTAATCATTTTTGTTGCCCTCCGCTGGACTCTTTCCAGTTTTTCCACATCCTCCTTGTAGTGTGGGGCCCAAAATGACATAGTACTCCAGATGAGGCCTCACTAATGCCGAATAGAGGGGAATGATCACGTCCCTCGATCTGGTGGCAATGCTCCTACTTATACAGCCCAAAATGCCGTTAGCCTTCTTGGCAACAAGAGCACACTGTTGACTCGTATACAGCTTCTCATCCACCGTAACCCGTAGGTCCTTTTCTGCAGAACTGCTGCCTAGCCACTCTGTCCCTAGTCTGGAGCAGTGCATGGGATTCTTCTTTCCTAAGTGCAGGACTCTGCACTTGTCCTTGTTGAACCTCATCAGATTTCTTTTGGCCCAATCCTCTAATTTATCTAGGTCCTTCAGTATCCTATCCCTACCCTCCAGCGTATCTACCACTCCTCCCAATTTAGTGTCATCTGAAAACTTGCTGAGGGTGCAATCCACGCCATCCTCCAGATCGTTAACGAAGATATTGAACAAAACCAGCCCCAGGACCGACCCTTGGGGCACTCTGCTTGATACCAGCTGCCAACTAGACATGGAGCCATTGATCACTACCCGTTGAGTCCGACGATCTAGCCAGCTCTCTATCCACCTTAAAGTCCATTCATCCAGCCCATACTTCTTTAACTTGCTGGCAAAAATACTCTTGGAGACAGTGTCAAAAGCTTTGCTAAAGTCAAGGAATAACACGTTGACTGCTTTCCCCTAATCCACAGAACCAGTTATCTCTTCATAGAAGGCAATTAGGTTTGTCAGGCATGACTTGCCCTTGATGAATCCATGCTGACTGTTCATGATCACTTTCCTCTCCTTGATGTGCTTCAAAATTGATTCCTTGAGGACCTGCTCCATGATTTTTCCAGGGACTGAGGTAAGGCTGACTGGCCTGTAGTTCCCTGGATCCTCCTCCTTCCCTTTTTTAAAGATGGGCACTACATTAGCCTTTTTCCAGTCATCCGGGACCTCTCCTGATCGCCATGAGTTTTCAAAGATAATGGCCAATGGCTCTGCAATCACATCCGCCAATAGGGACTGCTCCAGGTTTTGGGGTGACTCTTCCTCCTCCCCCAGGAAAAGCATGGAACAGCATGGAGCTGGTGCTTCTAACCGTTCCCCGGTACCTAGTAGGGAGGTGAGAAACCCTTTACCGTTGACTTTGGTTCCAGCCCCTGGACATCCATTGAGTCTGGTACTGATGAGGGAGATGCCAGTACCGACTGTTTCTGCGTCGGCAGCATACCAAGTAGCTACAGACCTCCTTCTGCCTTTCAGTCCTGACCTCTCCTTTGGTCCAGGACTTTGCCAAGTCTCTGTCAACTATAGCCCCTTCTATTGAACAAGCTACTGAATCTTTGGGTCTGTTGACACTGCGCCCCAATGTTCCCCTTCCACAAATTGTGGAAATAGGGCTGGTACTCTGATTGGTACGTGGGACCCCGGTACCAGGAACTTCCTCGACACTGCTGCAGTCAGCACAGCAGATGTTTCCATGGTGGCTTTCACCACTCTTGATGGTGCCATCAGACACTCTGGTACCACTCTTCACTTCGGGACTGACACTGCTTCAAGCACTGGCATGCTTGGTACCAATGATATTGCTTCCATTGGCAGCTCTGTTTCCTGCCTCATTCTGGACAATAGACGAGTCAAATATCTACTTGCTCCCTCTGGTTTGGCTCTGCCCTTATCTCCGGAATCCTGAGGCTCCTTTGAGTCAGGGTTGTCATCCTCCCACTCTCCATTGCCCGACCAGCATTGAGGGCCACTGATGGACTGTTACATGTAAACGGATTGGCGCACATCTCATGCTCAGGATGGAGGTCCCTGGCCCTGCACCTGTTGGCCACCAGTGCCTTATCCATGTCAGTGGAATCCGTGGGACACTCCTCGATCGCAGAGGTCCTACTCTTCATCTTGCTCAAAGGCAAGATTGCCGGCCAGTCTTTGGTGGTGACTCTCGATCCACTGCAGGCCAAGGCACTGGCAGTCCTCCCTGTGGCACGTCCAGAGTTGTTCCATCTGGGTCCGTCATCCCCGGAACAAGATCCGGCTTTGGCTCAGTTAAGGGCCTCATCTTCATCTCCAGATGATGCTGTGGTACATGGCTCATCCCCCCCTTCGGTACTGGATTTTAAGTTGTACCAAGTCCTTTTGCAGTATGTAGCTGCTTTTCTTGGTATCCAAGCAGAAGGGTTTTTTTGTGTGTGTGGGTTTTTTTTTTTTTAAGAGAACCCCCCACAAATTGATGGACGTTTTACAGCTCTGTGCCCCTGGGAGAGTCACCCTCTCTATCAGCAGTGCTCCTTGAACTGGCTAAGGCCCTCTGGAGCACTCTGGCTTTGACACCACCTATAGCTAAGCACATAGAAAAGCACTATTTCATTCCCATGCTGGGATTTGAGGGGTTTAACTCCCATCTGGCCCCAAATTCAATAGTTGCAACTGCGGTGAACAACAGAGCCCAGCAGGGCAGGTTTAAGTTCACCCCTAAAGATTAAGGATTCTAAACGATTGGACTTCATGGGCAGGAAGATTTACACCACCTTTTCCTTACAGATGTGACTTGCCAATCAGCAAGCCTTGCTGTCCAAGTACAGTTTTGTTAACTGGACAGCTATGTCAGGAGGAATTTTCTGGTATTTGTCACTGAGGGCTGCTTGGTGGCTAAGATGCTTTTTGTAATCCACACTCGATATCATGAACACCTGGGCCAGGGTGGGTGGCCTATGTGGTCACCATGAGATGGGGTTCCTGGCTTTCTTTGGCCTTCGACGGCTGAACACTGTTCTCAGACAAAACTGAGGAGACGCTGCGGTCCTTTAAGAATTCCAGGACTACCCTGCAGTCCTTCAGGCTGCAGAGGCGCCACTGTGGCATCCAGTGGCAGCAGTATTGTCTGCAGTGCACATTTGGCCAGCCTTTCCCTCCTCTGAGGCCTGGTCTACATTGGGGGGGATCGGTCTAAGTTACGCAACTTCAGTTACGTGAATAACGTAGCTGAAGTCAACGTACTTACATCTACTTACATTGTCTTCATCGCAGTAGGTCGACTGCTGATGCTCCCCCGTCGACTCCGCCTACGCTTCTCGCTCTGGTGGAGTACCGGAGTCGACGGGAGAGCGCTCGGCGGTCGATTTATCGCATCTTCACTAGACGCAATAAATTGACCCCCGCTGGATCAATCTCTCCGGAGGTAAGTGTAGACACGCCCCGAGGCACAGGACTACACCAGAAAGAGGGATAGATCCCACAGGAGGAAGCTGTTGGGCTTGGGCCAGTCCCCACACCTTTCCCTGATGCCTTTCCTAGTGCCCATTTGACTCCTTGCTCCAGAGCACTGTCCTAGTCATTGCTCCTTCCTCCTCATCTCCCTCCTTTGGGGACAGGCTGGCCCTCTTTCACAATGATGGGGGCTCTATCACTACTGACAGCGGGGTCCTAAGTACCATCAGATTAGGTTATGCCATCCAGTTCCACTCCACACCACCTCCCAACCCTCCCTCCCTGTCCCTCTTCAGGAACCCCTCTCATGAGATACTGCTCCTCGAGGAGGTCTACTCTCTGCTGCCTTTGGGAGCAGTGGAGAAGGTTCCACTGGAACACGGGGCATAGCTTCTCCTTTGGATACCAGGAAGTACTGGGACTAGAAGTAAGGCCTCAACAAATGTATCAGGTACATGGGGTTCTGAATGGTCACTCTACAGACTGTCTTCCCTGCATGCTCTGGAGCTATAGGACACCTACTTTCACATGGCAATTATTTACTCCTGGGGAATTCTGTGCATCTTCGGACATGCAGAATTCATGTGTCCCGCAGAATTTTTTTTCAGCAGAAATTACATTTTTACCCCAGAAGTGCTGCAGTTCTGCCTTTCGCC